TGATGATGATGATGATGATGATGATGATGATGATGATGATGATGATGATGATGATGATGATGATGATGATGATGATGATGATGATGATGATGATGATGATGATGATGATGATGATGATGATGATGATGATGATGATGATGATGATGATGATGATGATGATGATGATGATGATGATGATGATGATGATGATGATGATGATGATGATGATGATGATGATGATGATGATGATGATGATGATGATGATGATGATGATGATGATGATGATGATGATGATGATGATGATGATGATGATGATGATGATGATGATGATGATGATGATGATGATGATGATGATGATGATGATGATGATGATGATGATGATGATGATGATGATGATGATGATGATGATGATGATGATGATGATGATGATGATGATGATGATGATGATGATGATGATGATGATGATGATGATGATGATGATGATGATGATGATGATGATGATGATGATGATGATGATGATGATGATGATGATGATGATGATGATGATGATGATGATGATGATGATGATGATGATGATGATGATGATGATGATGATGATGATGATGATGATGATGATGATGATGATGATGATGATGATGATGATGATGATGATGATGATGATGATGATGATGATGATGATGATGATGATGATGATGATGATGATGATGATGATGATGATGATGATGATGATGATGATGATGATGATGATGATGATGATGATGATGATGATGATGATGATGATGATGATGATGATGATGATGATGATGATGATGATGATGATGATGATGATGATGATGATGATGATGATGATGATGATGATGATGATGATGATGATGATGATGATGATGATGATGATGATGATGATGATGATGATGATGATGATGATGATGATGATGATGATGATGATGATGATGATGATGATGATGATGATGATGATGATGATGATGATGATGATGATGATGATGATGATGATGATGATGATGATGATGATGATGATGATGATGATGATGATGATGATGATGATGATGATGATGATGATGATGATGATGATGATGATGATGATGATGATGATGATGATGATGATGATGATGATGATGATGATGATGATGATGATGATGATGATGATGATGATGATGATGATGATGATGATGATGATGATGATGATGATGATGATGATGATGATGATGATGATGATGATGATGATGATGATGATGATGATGATGATGATGATGATGATGATGATGATGATGATGATGATGATGATGATGATGATGATGATGATGATGATGATGATGATGATGATGATGATGATGATGATGATGATGATGATGATGATGATGATGATGATGATGATGATGATGATGATGATGATGATGATGATGATGATGATGATGATGATGATGATGATGATGATGATGATGATGATGATGATGATGATGATGATGATGATGATGATGATGATGATGATGATGATGATGATGATGATGATGATGATGATGATGATGATGATGATGATGATGATGATGATGATGATGATGATGATGATGATGATGATGATGATGATGATGATGATGATGATGATGATGATGATGATGATGATGATGATGATGATGATGATGATGATGATGATGATGATGATGATGATGATGATGATGATGATGATGATGATGATGATGATGATGATGATGATGATGATGATGATGATGATGATGATGATGATGATGATGATGATGATGATGATGATGATGATGATGATGATGATGATGATGATGATGATGATGATGATGATGATGATGATGATGATGATGATGATGATGATGATGATGATGATGATGATGATGATGATGATGATGATGATGATGATGATGATGATGATGATGATGATGATGATGATGATGATGATGATGATGATGATGATGATGATGATGATGATGATGATGATGATGATGATGATGATGATGATGATGATGATGATGATGATGATGATGATGATGATGATGATGATGATGATGATGATGATGATGATGATGATGATGATGATGATGATGATGATGATGATGATGATGATGATGATGATGATGATGATGATGATGATGATGATGATGATGATGATGATGATGATGATGATGATGATGATGATGATGATGATGATGATGATGATGATGATGATGATGATGATGATGATGATGATGATGATGATGATGATGATGATGATGATGATGATGATGATGATGATGATGATGATGATGATGATGATGATGATGATGATGATGATGATGATGATGATGATGATGATGATGATGATGATGATGATGATGATGATGATGATGATGATGATGATGATGATGATGATGATGATGATGATGATGATGATGATGATGATGATGATGATGATGATGATGATGATGATGATGATGATGATGATGATGATGATGATGATGATGATGATGATGATGATGATGATGATGATGATGATGATGATGATGATGATGATGATGATGATGATGATGATGATGATGATGATGATGATGATGATGATGATGATGATGATGATGATGATGATGATGATGATGATGATGATGATGATGATGATGATGATGATGATGATGATGATGATGATGATGATGATGATGATGATGATGATGATGATGATGATGATGATGATGATGATGATGATGATGATGATGATGATGATGATGATGATGATGATGATGATGATGATGATGATGATGATGATGATGATGATGATGATGATGATGATGATGATGATGATGATGATGATGATGATGATGATGATGATGATGATGATGATGATGATGATGATGATGATGATGATGATGATAATGAATGTAATCACACTGTTCTCATCTACACAATCCAATGAAACGAAAAAATGAAAATCACACAACATTTTATCGGACTACAATCTTTATTTTATTCATTATTACATGGATCTGATCCATTCTTCACGTTAGTTGGTCACAGGTGACCCGTAAGAAGTCCTACGTTTCAGAACCAATGTATACCTGCATCCTAGACGGAATCGACACTCTGCCTGACATTCCAACCTGCATCAGTAAGTGCTATGTCCTGTGACGCTACTACTAACACATAGACTGATGATAGGAGTATGCAAGCAGAGAATTTCATCACCTTTAGGGGAAGCTACAGAAATTCTTAGTTAGTGTCCATCTTCCGTTCACATCGCTGTTGAATGTCAAGATATCCAGCTGGAATCGTTAGCTGCCGACTATAAAATGGAAGCTGAGGGAGGAAATACAAATCGGTCAAAGGGAGTAGAAGTAAAAATTAGTAAAAGAGAGAGAAAAGAGGAATGAGAAAATGGTAAGATTCGGTATAGCGTTAAGATGAGGATAATGTGTGTGGGGATACATCTACACCACTGACATTGGTTCTCAGCCACGTGATCACCTAAAGGCAGTCCCCAACAACCACTGGTTTCTCTTGTCATTGAGTCATAAGTTTTGTTGTATGATAGATGGATGACAATCCTAAGGGGATACGGTGAATAATGACAGATGACTATGATGTTGGATGGAAGTTTGAACTATTCAGTCACAAATCTAAAAGACACCGACTACCTTACATGTCAGTGTTCACGACTGTCAGCTTCATGTGGTGTGTGTCGGCCCTGTGGATTACAACTGATGATTACAATCAACCGCCAACTCTGAAATGGAACTGCATCGAAATTGTTAGACAGAAGTTGAATACCTTCACCCATCTTCGCTCTTTTACCAAAATGCATAAATTCATTTTACTGTGGTAAGATGTCCTGACTTCATTATTTACAGAAAGAAAGCATAAAATAACACGATTCAAGTATAAAAGTAGTAACACTAGACTTTTAAATAGGTAAACCAGGAGTCACTGAAGTATTACGCATTACTCTGATCTGATTGGTTATAGCTATGGGTGATATCTAAACTACTTATATTGAATAGTGAGTAGTAAACTTCGAAGTACACCTTAGTACACGTTTGTGGGGCAAAGATTACATCTGTACTCGTGAGACGATGGTTACCAATAAAGACGAATATGATATGATAATTTTCTAGGTATTGGGTGATGACTGAAGGTGAAATGAAAATTTAGACTGCGGCCGGATTCCAACCAGTGACCGCCAGGGTTTCGAGTCCGATGCTCCACCAGTATCAATTCCAGTCTCCTAAAACATGGCTGCTGATAGAACTTACCAACCGATCAGTTTAGTAGAAAAACGCTTGACAAGGGAAGAAAACTGGCGTTATATATCGAATTCAGCGCAACAGGAGGTTAATCGTAACCCGTCTAGCTCAGTGGTAAACGTCTTCGACTGCATAAGTAGGTGATAGGAAGCAGTGTAAACGGAAATCAACATTATAAGCCATTAGTCGCCAAGGTAGACGTTTCTAGACTTTAATTTTCGTTTCATTTTGTTGTGTAGTCAGAAAAAACCTTATTGGATAATTTTGTCCTACACCTGACCAATTAGAATTGTCTATTTGACTTTTGACCTTGTGGCTTTATATGTTCATGAAAACTGCTGTAGATAAATAACGTATTTTTGTCGAATAGAGTGTTTTTCTTATATTCAAAGCTCGATCTTAGTCTTCTGATTTTATTGGCTCATTAGAGTATAAAGTCCTGAGAGAGGACAGTCGCTATTCGTGTCCCGTTTAAGTATCTCATCGCGTGAAATATCGTTTACATATTTATTACTATCCACTCGGCCACTTCAGAAGGGATATCAGTTCCAATGGAGTTGCAGATACGCCTCCCTAACAAGCACAACATCAATGGTTCGGGGTTTCCTGCCAATTACCTTTGACAATCTTATACCCATAAAGATTGGCCATGCCAAATAAAAGTATACTGTAGGACCCCATAGATACAACGTTCCCATCAAACTTCAAACCAATCAGACAACTGTATTGATTGCAAATCTGGATTCATATTTTTTGCTATGAAAAATCACTCACCGCATAATAATTTTGTAGTGCAGATGGGGTACGTTGTTGCAAGGGCTTATCGCCAAGACAGTCAGACTCTTTCGCTGTCTGTTGACTAACAGTCACACGAACTGGATTACGAAGTCCTAAAATCAATAGAGACAACAGAAAATCATATGTCAACAACGCCTAGTTTCATATTATGTTGAAATAGAAAGATCCGTTCAAAGGCAATTGTATTTTAAGTATCATGAACCGATAACAAGTGAAGAATCAAAATCGAAAGTTGAACAACACTTCCTATGTCACATATCTGACACAGATTTATTATTCCAAAAAACCGAAAACTAAGTGGACATTACGGAAAATCATTTACTATGCAAGCATAACGGTGAAGTATAGTCATTCCTTAATGATTAGTCGGATATCTCGTCAGTCGGTGCTACAGAGGGCAAAAGTTGACAAATCCCAAACACATTTCGTTAGCAACCATCCTGTTCGGGCTACTGCGACTACTCAAGTAAGTCAAGTGGTCGATGCACCACTCCATTCTCTATTCTCAACAAAGAAGTGATTCCACACCGACTCACGAGCATCATCTTACATTTCACACGTCTGAAATGCATATACTAAGCATCCATAAGATTTCTCATCAAGGTGTCTAAAAGTCCCTGTATTTGATAGCGTCTTCACATAGTTGGACAATGCCATCTGTATACTCCAAATCAACTGGATGACTTCCAGGAAGTTGATCAATCCCTGTGAAGTCACAGGTATGTAAGGTTGTATCAATTAGTACAGAAACAGTGATATTTAAGTAATTTGATCATTTGTCTGACCTTTCAGGGTGTTGAACATTAAGTCATGACCCTGATGATTGTACAATAAATGCTTGTTCACCACAAAGTCCAGTTAGTCTTCGGTTCTGAAATACTGAAGAATATTTACAGCTGAGGTGAATGATCTCCATTGTGTTGTGTTCTCTGAGCTAGGTTGTTTAATCATGGAAGAGCTTTCATTGTATTTCTAGACCACAACATCATCAGCAGTAACTTCACTATGAAGTGAGCTGTCAATATCTCTCCGTGAGCGTCACTCAGTAGCTTGCCCTGACCAACTGGTTTGTGATTAATTGTTTCCCTTGATTGTTGTGTCATTGACTGACTGCATATATTTTCCTGTTGACTGTTCCTCTACTTGACATCTCACCTTCGTGTCACTTATCATTTTAGTTTATAGATTGAGTCTATGTTTATACATCTGTTGATTGCTGACTGAACTGAATTCCAAGCTTCTAGGAATTCTCTGATATTCTTTGTGTTTCCTCTCTCCGTTCAAGATTTCTACACTGTCAATTGAATTCACATCCATAGTTGTTACCTACGTGTACTGTAATGAGTAATGAAACATCGTGACGTGTTCATGTAGACAAAGATGAAGGTGAGCGACCACTTTGTCTGATAAAGAAAAGATATTGTCACACTTACAGCAGATAAAAGACGTACCACCGCAATCCTGGACAAGAAAGACTACATCAAGGGTACAGAAAATTTACTCAAAGATGTAAATATATGTCACAACCCCTTGAAACCAACCAAATCAACAAAACCTTGAACAAACTTATCAAACCAGAAGAAACAACAAAAACATTTGAAAGATTAAAGCAAACTGGAAGAGAAGAATTCGATGGAATATAATCGGTGGAAAGTTTTTTTAGTAGCCCAAGATTTGAACGGGTAGAAAACCTATCCTAACTTTCAAAGTTTCTGACCAATACAGTACAAAATTGTACTTAGTAAGATTCTCATTTAAAACTACCCAACGCATACGTACAAGAGATACATTAGAGGAAGAAATTAAATTCTTAGCAGAAATACGATGAAAGCTCTTCCATGATTAAACAACCTAGCTCAGAGAACACAACACAATGGAGATCATTCACCTCAGCTGTAAATATTCTTCAGTATTTCAGAACCGAAGACTAACTGGACTTTGTGGTGAACAAGCATTTATTGTACAATCATCAGGGTCATGACTTAATGTTCAACACCCTGAAAGGTCAGACAAATGATCAAATTACTTAAATATCACTGTTTCTGTACTAATTGATACAACCTTACATACCTGTGACTTCACAGGGATTGATCAACTTCCTGGAAGTCATCCAGTTGATTTGGAGTATACAGATGGCATTGTCCAACTATGTGAAGACGCTATCAAATACAGGGACTTTTAGACACCTTGATGAGAAATCTTATGGATGCTTAGTATATGCATTTCAGACGTGTGAAATGTAAGATGATGCTCGTGAGTCGGTGTGGAATCACTTCTTTGTTGAGAATAGAGAATGGAGTGGTGCATCGACCACTTGACTTACTTGAGTAGTCGCAGTAGCCCGAACAGGATGGTTGCTAACGAAATGTGTTTGGGATTTGTCAACTTTTGCCCTCTGTAGCACCGATTGACGAGATATCCAAGTGTTCATCAGGGGACAAGTATAATGCACTGCAGTCCGTTCCGCCCTGTTATACGGTTGACGGAAATGGCTGTTTGAATCAGGCGTGAAGAGAATATAGGTTAGGTTTCTGACCACCGATGGTTCGTAGTATTGCGCGGGGATAGTGAGATCACAATGTTAGCAATATTGAGGACAGACGAAATGTACTAGACAAGACAGCCAGGGGTGTCATTCAATGCGATTGTGAACGTTCATCAGCTGAGGTGAATTGGACATGTGTTGCGCAGATCCAGTCACCGTGTAGCCAAACCCAAGACGTGGCACCAGTTTATGAAGTCTCTGACTGTCAGCCTGAGCCATTCAGGGAGGTATAGACAACCCAGGTGGGATCTCCAAGACGACAAAAATCAGTGGTTGAAGAGTCTTGGTGACAGTGGTGCGGATATATTCACTCCCTGAAATCCCCTCCCATATACCTTTGTGTACTTTGATAACGGTCTCTTCTATCAATATGTTTTCTGTATGCTACTGTGAAGTGTGGTAGGTTGAACCGATGGAATTGTGTGCGAGGTTCTACATTGATTTTGTCTCTGTAACTGGATTATGAATTAATCATCTCTCCTACTGGATCTTGCTCACGACTTCAGATTGGAGTTATATTGTGAATTTTATTATTTTTTACACTATTTGTCCCTTGAGTTCCTAATGGAACATAGGGCTTCAGTAGCACGTCTCCATCCCATTCTGCTCTCTGCAAACTTTTGAACCTGGCTCCACGACACCCCAGAAGCTCTCATTTCTTCCTCACAAGATCTCCTCCATGTCACCCTCACCTCCGACGACCAACTCGTAGCTTCCCATTTGGGTTCCACTCCAGTGCCTGGCGCGTGATGTCCCCAGTCTGTCTACTCAGTGTATCCTCAATCCAATCCATATCCACTTTTTTCTGCATATTTGCTCAGCAATACGTTCTTGGTTAGTTCGCTTCCAGAGTTCCTTGTTGCTTATTCTCATTATTCTGGCCATCTGATCTTCAGTAACGAGCCAGCGTAGGAATTTGTTGATGAGTGTGTGCAGTTTGTTGGAAATCCCTTTCGTAACGCGCCAAGTTTCTCAACCATCACATAGAAGCACTGACTTGACTGGATTGGTGTTGAAAATCCGGATGTTGTTCCACATGGTGAGTGCAGAAGATCTCCACACTGGTTTCAGGCTAATGAAGGCCTGTCTTGCTGCCTTTCCGATCCTGGCTGACTTTGACGTCCTCGTCTGTGCCGCCACCTGTAGTTGAAACAGTGCTGCCTAGATAGGTGAAGGAGGCTACTTCTTTTAAGTTTCCCCCATTAATGGTGATTGGAGCTTGTTGTTGTTGTTGGTGGGGGTAGTGTTGGTTGGGTATCTTCATCACCTCTGTCTTCTCTATATTCACTTGAAGTCCTGTCTTTGCTGCCCTGCCTCTTTTATTAACTTGTTGGATTTCGCCTATAGATCTTCGAGTTTGTGTGATATTTGACATAAATCATCGGCGAAACCCAAATCTTCTAGGATCTTTTCTCCCGTCCAGCGTATCCCTCTCTTCTCGCTCCTCGCTGTTTGTTGCATAATCCAGTCCACTACAATCAGGAATATCATGTGTGATAGTAGACAGCCTTGTTTCACTCCTGTCTTCACTTCAAAAGCATTACTGAGCTTCCCATTGTGAATTACTTGGCATGTGGCGTCTTCATATAGCTGTTGAATGAGATTGATAAAGGTTTGTGGTATTCCGTAGTGTTGAAGCAGTTGCCAAACTACTTCTCGATCGACGCTGTCGAAGGTTTTTTCAAAATCGATGTAGTTGAAATACAGAGTTGGCTGCCATTCTATACTCTGTTATATGATTATGCGTAGCGTAGCGTTGCAATTCGGTCCGCATATGCTTTGTGCTTCCTGAATGCAGCCACCCTGTTCCGGTCGCAATTTTGAATGCATAGCAGTTTTTAGTCTCTCCATGATAATGCGGCTTAATATTTTGCTTGGGTGGACAGGAGCTTGATTCCGCACCAGTTCTTGCAAACACTTAGGTCGCCCTTCTTTGGGACTTTGATAAGGTAACCCTTCTTCCAATTTACAGGTACCTTCCCTTCCTTCCAGACCTTCTGCAATAGTGGTGTGAACATGTCCGCTGTTGTCTCTGCGTCTGCTCTCAGTGCTTCTGGTGGGATTCCATCTGGTCCTCTTGCTTTTCCCCATTTCAGTAGCTTTATGGCGTTCAGGACTTCCATTTTCGTTGGGGGATTAATGTTCACTTGTAATTCAGCGGCTGTAGGTGGTATTTCTGGACGGACTGCAGGTGGTGATCGACTCAAGAGCTTTTTGAAGTGGTCAGTCCACCATTTCCTTTGTTTCTCTTCTCTGGTGATTAGATTTATGTCATCATCCTTTATTGGTTTCATGTGTGTTGATCGCTTCCAAGATAGTAACCTGGTTATTTGATACAATGTTGTCAGGTCTCTCCTACCAGTCGGCAGCCTGTTCTGCTTCACTTGCCAGTGTGTCGTGGAAGTGTCTTTCGTCTTTCCGCGCACTCTTCCTCACTTCTTTGTCCAGTGTTTTATAGGTTGTACTCAATTCCTCTTCTCGTTGTTCATCCCTGCACTCCACGGGTTTATCTTCTGCCCAATCATCTATCTCTCCTCTATCAGCTTTCATGTATCCGTCGAAATCCATTCCTTACCTTCTTTCTTCTTCCTTCCTAATACGGCTGTGCAGGTTTCTTTCCACATCTCTTTCAAAGACTTCCAGTGTTCTTCCACACATGTTCCTCGATATCTCCCATTTTGTCTTGATGGCTGCCGTGAAGATTTCCTTTGTAGTTTCGTCCTTCAGTTTCCGAGTGTTGAACTTGGACTGTGGTCTATCACCAACTTCCTTGAAGGCCTTTAACCTGATTTGGAAGGTTCCTCGCACTAGATAGTGAGTGGTCTGAACCTACATCTGCTCCTCTTCTTGACCTTGTGTCAAGTAGGCTGAGTCTCCACTTTCTTCAGATTGAGACGAAGTCGATCTGATTTTTAGTGTAGTATGTCTTAGTGTCTGGTGAAATCAAATCCGTGTCGCTTTGTGGATATCCTTGTGTTTGAACACACTGCCTCCAATCACCAAATCGTTGAATGCACAGAATTCTGCAAACAATTCTCCATTCTCGTTCATTTCACCCAGCGCTTCTCGATCCATGGTTAGTTCTCTTCCTGTGTTGTCTGCTCCAAGTTTGGCACTCATGTCGCCAACTGAGGTCCTGTCCAGTGCTGATTGCAGTTGTCTGTAAAATTCCTCCTTCTTCTCTTCATCTGCATTGTTTGTAGGTGCATAGTGTAGCATTGTATGATTGTGACCTTCCTTCCTTTTGAGTTGAACCTTGCTTTCATGATCATGCATGAGGAGATTGGTTCCCATTGCTCTTGGGGACATCATGATAGCCACTCCATAACTCAGTGTGTTCGTGGTTGTCATCTGGGTGACAATATCGGAGTAGATTATTGATTCTCCAGTTGACAGTTTAGAGAGTCCACTCCCATTTCTTCTGCTTTCGCAAATTCCAAGTACTTCAATGTGATACCTTCTCATCCCCTATGCAATCTGGGCTGCCTTGCTAGGTTCAAACATTGTGCGGACATTCCATGTCCCCATGTTTACTTTCGCTTTCATCGAGAGAAGACACATCGGCCAGTTGGCTTCCTGAAGGCTTTCACCAACCGGCGTCATTTCGTTTCTCCGATTCCAGCAAGGAATAAGTTTGTTTTTATTTTTTAATTTTGTTTGTGCTGTGAAGTTTCTTTAGCGATTGAATTGGTTTTATGGTGTAGGGTTGCTAGCCCTACTCCCAACCTTCCCTCTTTACCTGGGCTTGGAACTGGCTAGTAACTAGTGAACTAGTTAATTTAGCGTTCACTAAACCCCCACACAGCTCAAGATGGAGGGTAAACAAGTATTGCAATTGTAATAGGTATTATTTCACGCAGCTCTGAAATCAGACCATGCACAATCAGCCAGCCAAAAAGTTCCAACATCCAGTTTAATCGATTAATCTCTGTCACAGTATTAAATCCCTGCACTGGCACTAACAGTTACGTTTTAATAAAAACCAATAGAATTATAGTATGATCCAAGGTCATGGGAAAATAACAGCCAATAAAAACAGTTTGAGACATAACTTAGACTGCATCAGATGTCTGGCTTTTTAGACAGGCAACTCATCACACATACATAAATATGTCCCTAATGTACTTACCAGCTCGAACAAGATCTTCAACTCGAGTTGTTTGTGTAGCAGAAAACAAACCTGTTCGCCGTTGTTTAGGCAAGAAAGATAAAATGGTATTTATCCTATAGAAATTAAAGAAAATGTAAGCAAATAACAAGGATTACCTAGGCAATATGATCAAAAAAGGATAAGTTAATGCCTTATCATGAACATAAAACGATCAAAACATGATTGAAAGAGAATTGAACAATAAGTAGCAAAATTGAACTCATAAAACAAATACAAATTCATCCACTGGTCGTATCGATCATATAAAGACCAGAGACAGGTGGAATGGGTTATAGACTCATAACTCAATAGATTTAATGGTTGAATGACCGCTTCAATGGGTCACAACTCTACCCAATGCATAAGTATCCTATGTGATTCAGTGGGGAAGTTAATCAGACAGTTGAAGATAAGCTTAGAACCTCGCATATAAGTGACCACACTTCACAGTAGTAAACAAAGAACAAGTGGTGAGTAGGTAAGACTGATATCCAAGTAAACAAAGGTGTATAGGAGAAGAAGGAATTACAAAATGAAGGCTAGTCAACGTTTAGAAGATCTTAGCCATGTTACCAAAATTCCTTAACCACTGATTCCTATCGTCTACGGGACCACAGCCGGATAGGCTAAACGATTCAGACAAACAGTCAAGGACTTCATGCACTAGTGCAATGGGAAATGGATAAGTAAGAAATAAAACACAATAAGAATAGAATGATTAGAAGGAGAGTTCAGTGAGATACATTCATAACAAAACATTCATCGGGGAGGAAGCTACAGCATGACCACCACTGATATGGTGGTCACTGGTGCCATATCTGATACGCCTGAAGTCACTGAGTTGTGTGATCTCGCCGTCCCCACTCATGGAGTGATGATGAACCAGCAGATGCTAACCTGATACAACTATCCTTCATCCAACGGCACCACCTCACACACTGATCACTCATTCCCTTCTTCTCATCCAGTCCAAAAGGTCTAACAAACAATAAATATGAACGTGGCTCAGCATGCACACCACATGTTCAAGCCACTAGTCTTCACTTTTAGTACATACCAATTTTTCTCAGAGTTGAAAAATCCCCACTTCATGAGACTTTTGAAAATTAAGTTGAACTTTTGCGAAATATCCAATCAAAAATGACAGGAAAACGTTCCCCAGACGACTTAAATACAACTAACTCATTGGTGAAATCCCGTTAGGTTTTTCAATGCAAAAAATCAAAGTGTCATAACTAATCAGGGTATGTTTAAAAAGGCACGGGTGTAATGTGGTAGAATAAAAAATATTACTGGGTGACTAGAATACGAAATTCTTTACCAACAACAGAGATTATCAATTGGTGCGTAAATTATTTCCAAGCGGATACAACAACAAAAAGCTCGTCGGCTGGATGCACCTACACCCGTGAGATTTGGACCTAGTTCCCACCGCTTGAAACGCTGTTATCCACTACGGGAGCAAAAATAACATCACTTACTGGGACGCAGGTGTATCCATCCAAAGCAACATAGGACCAAGCATTACTGTGTAACGGTCCAACTTGCCACACCTCATATCAGTATACCAAGTAAAAAGGCAATGAAGTGGAAGATGAAGAAAATATAATTCAGTCAAAAAATATAAAGTAGTAAAAGAGAGAAAGGATGACAAAATGGTGAGATTCTATATAGCTTTACGATGAGGATAATGTGTGTGGGGATACATCTGTGCCACTTATATCGATTCTGAGCCATATCACCTAGAGTCTCCAACTACTGGTTCCTCTTATCCTGAGGACCCCAACCCACTAGTCTGCATCGCCCCACATGGCTCAAACCAACACACACTCAACCACTACACTTTCTATTGTTGGCCGAGGCATCAATGAAGACGAATCCTGAAGTAACAATTTGTATTTGGGTGGTGAGAAACGCATCCCAAACACCCCCAAATTGCCACTCAAAGTGTCCAGAAGACTTTGCATCTTGTCAGCGTCTTCACCTAATACGGCTATGTCATCTGCATATCATAGGTCTAACGAAAATTCTCCTGCGATTAGGTCAACCTCTGTGTAGTCAAGTGACGGGAGGGAGACCACCACCAGAATATCTATGGTAAAATCGAATAAGAATGGAGAGAGTGGGCACCCTTGAAGGACACCAGGTGCATCCAGTTGACGAGTCTCAAATAGGACAAAACACGCATCGCGGATTTCACTTCTAGCCGCAACCAAGTCAACTACAACGTAATGAATATCCGTGAAACGTCAAGGCTTGCACTTCAGTACACAATCCACCTTTTCCAAACTCAATCTTACTGCAAGTGTTGCCACAGACGATAGCTTGTAACAAGCATAGTCTAACTCAGTCACCTCTAAGACTCCATGCTGGTGAAATTGGGTAAACGGATAATTCTTGTTTCTATAAAAACATATCGGAAGGCTTTATTCACCCACACTACTATTCATTTCAACGACATTTTGTGTTATCCTGACCAAATAAGGTGAGCGTCATCCAACTGAGTCCCCCGTTTCAGGGTCGATAAACATTATGCAGTTGTCCCCAACCTAGTAGATGAAAGGAAGCTGTCCAAATACAAATAAACACTTTCAGTTATCAGTTGCTAACATAGAAGCAATTGTATTTTTCACATTTTCTTTCGTTTCGCTGCGTAGTTAAGGAAAACCTTATTGGATAATCTTATCCTACAGCTGACCAATCGGAACAAGATATTTAACTTTAAACCTTGTGGTTCTATATGTTCATGAAAACTGTATATAAATGATGTACTTTTGTGTGTTAGTATCCTTCGTGTATTTAGTTTCACTGACAAAGTTACTTCAATAGATGAAATTAAACTCAAGCCATGACTCAACTATCCAGCATAAAATTCAGCTGAAATCAATGAAACAAAAATGATATATAAATCAGCAATCATGCACAGGTTTGTGACCTCATCTATGAGACTATCTAACCGATAAAAAGTCTATCTTGGTAGATAAAGAACGATTTGAATGTTGAACGCTTAAACCTGAACGTAGAGAAGACAGATGTGATGAAGATATCTGAACAACAACAAGCACCAATTACCATCAACGTCAGAAATCTAATGGAAGTTGCCTCTTTCACCTACATACCTTCTTGGCAGCATCGTCTCAACTGAAGGAGGAACAGGCACGCAAGACGATGTCAAAGCCAAGATTGGAAAAATAACAACACACGCCTTCCTTCATTAATCTGAAATCAGTGTGGAGATCCACTGCACTGCACTACACTACACTGCACTCAGCATACGGATTTTCAACACTAATTCAGTCAAGTGAGTCGTCAGTGCTTCTATGTGATGGTTGAGAGACTTGGTGCATTACGAAAAGCATTTCCAACAAACTACAGACATACACATCACATGAACAGCTACCGCCCTACACTCACTCGATACTGAAGATGAGATAAGAAGACCAGAAAGAATAAGCAACAAGGAACTCTGGCTGGCCTGGCAACGAACCAACGAAGCAAGAACCTATCACCCAACAAATATCCAGAAGAAGAGAGTGGATATGGATTGGATTGGATTGGACATACACTGAGAAGACGGTTTGAGGACATCACGTGCTAGGTCAGGTTGTCGAGTGGAACTCGCATGGGAAATAACAAGTTGGGAGTCCGAGGGTGACATGGAGGAGATGGTGTGAGAAAGAAATGAAAGCTCCTAGGTAGTGGTGGGACCAGGTTAAAAAGACTGTAGAGGAGAGAGTGAAATGGTGACGTGCTACTGAAGCCCTGTGTTCTACTATGAACCCAAGGGACAAATAATAATAATAATAACAATAATAATAATAATAATAATAATAATAATAATAATGGTTCATTGGATTAGGTAGATAGCTTTCGACCAAAGAAGTCACAGATTGTAACCCCCCCCCCTTGCTCCCACACCACCACCACCACCAAAAGAAGTATGGACAGTCAGATAGTATCATGAGCCGTCAAATAACAAGTGTGGCTTACTGCCACCTATTGGACTATTTTGATGAGCCAAGCGAGTACAAGAAAGTAATCACTGAAATAACACAACATATTACCAACTAAAATTCCCTACTTACTGTGAATCGAATCCCATTTCCAAAAGACGATCAGCCTCATCAAGTATTAAAACTTCCTAGAATTGATAGAAAGGAAACATGCCAAACCATGAGAGATGGCACTGAGAATGCACAAACATGCTGACGATTATAAAAAACAGTAACGGTGTACAGGTAATTCAATATAAAGACTATTTTATCTGACTGCACCAATCAAACAGACAATATCAATAAAAGAGCTGGTATTGATGTGTAACGGTTCACTTTAAATTTCCCTTACATGGCCTAGGACAATGGTCAGAGATTTCATAGAATGATGCCATTTTTTAGTCAGACTGTTCCAAGTCTTTTTTCCAGCCTGAACCAGCTTCAGCTAATATAACGCGACGAAGTAGACGGTAACATATGTCCTAGCCAGCTGAGTCGATGATGGTTGACAGTCCCATCAACTGAGTTCCCTCTTAAGTTTGTATAAAAAAGCTTACCATGTTCCTTATTGAGGTTCTATAAGTGAGTATTTTTATTATGACTTGGTTTTTTTTCAACAACAAAAAATCACAGATACTTGTTAAACATTTTTCATATTATTCATTATACTACTTGTCAGTAACTGTGTGCACAGTTTCTTACTTTTCTCTGATTGGTTGTCTGTGGTTGTCTAGATACACTCGCCGTTATCTGATTGGTCGAAGTTGTCAGTTGGCATTCAACCATATTGAACTTGTCTTTTCAACGGGTTTTTTAACTGTTGCTTCCATGGTATTTACTGATAAATTACCTCGAATGTATGTGTATTTATTGCTGTGAATAATAATAAATATTCAGATTGTATCAAGGCATCCGCATAGGATCAATTCGATCGAGTGTAACAACAGAGAACTAGAAGTATATTGACAAATAATAATTCCTTGTCTTCTTTATGTGATCTACTGAACAAATTCACATTCTACTGCAACTAACTTACTAACGAAGATACTTTTAGTGTACAATAATCCAAGTAATGAAATTAGTGTCCTAAATGAAGGTTATTAACTATGGATAGTGGCTAGCAGTGGAGTCCAGAATGCGAGTTTTGTCCAATCTGGGACTCGTCAGCTGGATGTACCTGTCTCCCAGTGAGCCATATTGTTCCCACTAGGACTCGGACTCGGGACCGATCGCATCAAACTCCAGAGCGTTATCCAGTAGACCAGCGAGCCACAAAAGCCACTTTTTATGCGGCGAGTAATACAAGCAACCACATTAAATCCAATCAGTAGCCGATATCTAGGTATCAATACAGGGGCGCAGTTGCCAATATTACCCAATCATTTCGGTCGATTCGACGACAGGAAATTACAAGCCATGACATCAAACCATACTTCTCGTACAGGAAGTGGCTGGTGGGTAGTGCTTTGGTGTCTAAAGCGATGGGTGTAGGATTCGAGTTTCAGTAAAAACAACAATATCCACTGCAAGGCAAGTGAATCCAGCTGATGACTGAGTCCTAACCAGGACGAAACATCCATCCACTGGTAACCATTATCCATAATTAGAAACAAAAGCCCACCAGTTGCCACCCCATTCTAATATAACTCGGTCTGGATGGAGATGAGAAGTGAGTTGGTGTGATAAGAAACAATCGGTTGAATATGCCCGACTGATAGCAGCTACTTTGACGTAGTGGTTGAGCTTGAATATCACAATTACCCAACAAGCTATGCTGATACCATACCAGAAGATTTGTTGGATAGTGGTTAGACAAGAGCCAGTTACTATTATAGTGTAAATTGCCACTCTATGATGAGGGTCTGGGAGCAAAGTCGTAATGTTGACTGGCTAGGGTGGGACAATAGTAAGGTTATTCCACTGGATGACCAGAACTGCCACGATGATGCTGCCTTCCCTATGGGAAGGAGGGTTAGAAAAGGTTAGTTTGAAAAACAGCACACTGCCACCTCTTCGTGGAATGCCGATGCCTGCAACAGGGATTCATAATCGGATTCAAAGCAAAATATTAAAAGCTCAGACCTGCAAAAAGGTCGTGTGTGATCGGCCTCAATCAGATGTCCTTTGAGTTCAGCAGTCACATACTACCCTTACTTTTTCAGGTACTACAAGAAAACCTGGCTTTCCACAGTGTGGGTAGCCGGGAAGTGTCAAACTAACGCACGCTTCCAGTTGAATATACTTCATCCACGAGACGGTGGAGTAAAACTTCCGATGAAATCAAGACCAAGCCGACAGTTGAGTCTAGTAAGCCAGTTCAGTAACCCAGGGGATGCTGGTCCAAACACCGTTACAGTTGCTGACTTCAATGATCATCGTCAATTTTCTCGTATCAAAATAAAAGTCAAGAGTTAACAGAATTACCAGAGTAAGTGGATTTCTTTCCTATACTAACATACCATACTACGAAGTCCACGAATAATAGGATTAACCATATTTCCCAATCCAAAATCAACAACAGGGCCAGCCAGAATCAAATCAGTCAGACGTCCAGGAGTAGCGACGAGTACAGTGGAGCCTTTTTCTTTAAATGCACCGAAATCTTGAAGTTTTGTAGTCGGCCCACTGGAACGTCCACCACCAGTGAAAACAAGCGTAGAAAAGTTTGAATCCTCTCTTGAAATAAAAGAAACCAATTTTTGTATGAATAAGTAATTGGAATAGAAATAAAGAAAAATTTGTAAAGTAGTCTTGAAGGCTTGTGCCCATCTATGACCCCACCGTCCAGGGATCGAACCCAGAAACTTCAGGTTCCGCAGTCAGCCACTAGAATAGAATCCAATAATCCACACTTATTGAACTCCGTCAGTTCATGACAAAGCCCAACCTTCATCCAATTCCGCCGTTGAGTGTTCATCCTTACACTTGATTTGGTTAACTCCGCAGGTAGTATGCTCACCGTGAGACCTGACGGTTCTGGGCTCGGTTTAAGGAAGAGTCGTCGATGCAAACTGCTTTAGATTGATCTCCATATATAAGAGTATCAAATTATACATAAATGCATTCAACATAGAGAAGAGTAATCATTGGAAAGCAGAACGTGTACGTGAGGTATTTACTAGGAACTCAACTCTATACAATTACTGCCGCGTGCCGTGCAACTGGAAGCTAGATTAACTTAGAAGAGGGCTCAGGGTGACCAGACGACGACCTGGCATCAGTCGATGAGAACTCTTACCGTTGGTCTGAACTATGTGGGGTGATGTAGACAGTATGGTTGGGGTCCATGAGACAAAAGGAATCAGTTATTGGTGACATGGCAAAAAATCGGTAACAATGGCGGAGATATGTTCACATCTTTTGTTTGACATCTTTTAAAGCTTGAATACTCGCGCTAACCTTCATCTTCAAAATGTTTATTCCCTCCTAAACGACTTTTTCTACCATGATATGACTCCTTTTCTATCCACCTATTCTTTGTGTACTACTGTGAAGTGTGGCAACTTGAGGTGACGCACTTGTGTGAGAGATTCTACGCTGATTTCGTCAGTCGGTCAATCAGTCACTCTACACAGACTGACATATATATATATATATATATATATATATATATATATATATATATATATATATATATATATATATATGACAAAAAAGGCAAACGGCTGCACATTGTCGCGTTCTAGTTCGATTTGCTCAACTCCACTTGAACACGCCTTTAGGTAGAGGTCAAACAAGAACAAACAGAGTGGAATGCAAATAACAACATTTATAGAAGAAACTCACAAGACAAAAAGACACAGATACCGATAAAAGGCATAAGGATATAACCATATCAACTAAGTGTGTAAGTAAATAGCTATTTAGTGTTCCAGTCTGAACCTCGCCTAGTTAACTACTTCACCAGTTACTAGCTGGTCATAAGCCCGGATAAACAAGGAAAGTTGGGCAAACCGCTAGCAACTCCACCTCAGAAAACCAATACAATCACCAAAAATACTTCAAACCACACAGAATATATAATAAATAAACTTATTCCTCACTGAAATCGGACAAACAAAATCACATCACTTGGTGAAAGCCTTCGGGAAGCCAATTGGTCCATGTATCTTCTCTCCATGAACGTGAAAGTAAACATGGGGACATCGAATATCTGCACAACGTCTGAAGATGGATGGCTGGAAACACTGCACGGATTGCAAACGAGATGAGAAGGTATAGCATAGAAGTGTTACGAATCTGAGAAATCAGATGCAATACAAGTCGACTCTCCAAACTGTCAACTGCAAACTCAATAATCTACTCCGATGATGATATTGTCACCCAGATAACAACCATGAGCACACTGAGTTCTCGAGTCGCTATCATGATGTCCCCAACAGCATCAAAGGCTCTCATGCAGCGCCAACCAATCTCCTCCACGATCAACATCATGACAGTAAGAACAAACAAATTTACAATGATACGCTACAATGCTACGATATCCACCTACAAATAATGCAGACGCGGACCAAGATAAGAAGAAATTCTACAGAGACAACTGCAGTCAGCACTCGACAAGACTCTACCCCAGATGGTGACATCAAAATTCTAGTGGGTCGGGTGACATCAGTGCCAAACATGGAGCAGACAACACAGGAAGAGAACCAGTCATGGGTCGAGAGGCACTCGGTGAAATCATGAATGAGAATGGAGAACTGTTTGCAGACTTCTGAGCATCTAATCATTCCGCGATCGCAGGCACCGTGTACAACTAAAAAAGATATTCACAAAGCGACCGACACGGATTTCACTTCACCAGACACCAAGACACATTACACTAAAAATCAGATCGATTTCATCTCAATATCAAGAAAGTCGAGACGCAGTCAGCCTACTGGACACAAGATCAGATCAAGAAGGGGAGCAGATGTAGGTTCACAGCACTTACTCACTGTCTATTGTAGGGAACCTACCTTCAAAACCAAGTTGAAAGCCTTCAAACAAGCTGGTGATAGACCACAGTTCCAGTTCAACACCCAAAACAGAAACTGAAGGACGAAACTACAAAGAACATTTTCACATCAGCCATCAGGAAAAGAGGTGAGGGATTAGGCAACATCCTTGAAGAAACCTGTGTGGATGAACACTGCAGCTCTGTGAAAGCGACTTGGAAGGAAACCTGCATAACCGTGTTAGGAATGGATTTTCATGGATCTCCACTTGGAAGCTGATAGAAGAGAGGAAGATGGTGAAGCAAAAGATTAATGATGAAAAGAGTAACTGAGTACAACCTATAAAACACTGGACAAAGAAGTGAAGAAGACTGCACGCAAAAATAAAAGACACTTCTACGACACACTTGCAAGTGAAGTAGAACAGGCTGGCTCCACAGAAGCAGTTGAACTGATAAACCCATATGGCAGTAGCACTCTCACTTCTCAAACTTATCATATTTATGACTCACTCAAAGTCTATAGTTACCGTTATTCAAACCTCCCCCTTCTCCTCACTCCGTACCCTTTGGTTAGTATTTTCATATCAATTGTAAACCTATGTTTTAACGTAGAGTCAAAATGAAAAGGAATATATTTCTTAGCTCAATCAGTACTTCTTTTTTCTAAATAAAATAACCTTCCGAAGAGTTAGCTATCTATCACACGAATTCAACTTGAGTGAGCTAAATACATCAGTGATCACAAGTAACTGAAGAAAAGGAAGTAAAAATGTCAGCCAAGCATCAACAGTTGTATTATTTTACTTACCTTGAAATATGTTTCACTGAAGACTAGTTTCATGGCATTGTTGTATAGCTCAGTTACAAGAACTTCACAATGAACCATCAATCATTATCGCAGGATGGACGAAACATACCATACATACCATACATTATCAAGCTGTACAGTAGCATTTTTATTATTATTATTATTATTATTATTATTATTATTGTTATTATTATTATTATTTGTCCCTTGGGTTCATAGTAGAACACAGGGCTTCAGTAGCACGTCACCATTTCACTCTCTCCTCTACAGTCTTTTTAACCTGGTCCCACCACTACCTAGGAGCTTTCATTTCTTTCTCACACCATCTCCTCCATGTCACCCTCGGACTCCCAACTTGTTATTTCCCATGCGAGTTCCACTCGACAACCTGACCTAGCACGTGATGTCCTCAAACCGTCTTCTCAGTGTATGTCCAATCCAATCCAATCCATATCCACTCTCTTCTTCTGGATATTTGTTGGGTGATAGGTTCTTGCTTCGTTGGTTCGTTGCCAGGCCAGCCAGAGTTCCTTGTTGCTTATTCTTTCTGGTCTTCTTATCTCATCTTCAGTATCGAGTGAGTGTAGGGCGGTAGCTGTTCATGTGATGTGTATGTCTGTAGTTTGTTGGAAATGCTTTTCGTAATGCACCAAGTCTCTCAACCATCACATAGAAGCACTGACGACTCACTTGACTGAATTAGTGTTGAAAATCCGTATGCTGAGTGCAGTGTAGTGTAGTGTAGTGTAGTGCAGTAGATCTCCACACTGATTTCAGATTAATGAAGGAAGGCGTGTGTTGTTATTTTTCCGATCTTGGCTTTGACATCGTCTTGCGTGCCTGTTCCTCCTTCAGTTGAGACGATGTTGCCTAGGTAGGTGTCAATTTGTTGCCTTATTTAGTGATTCATTTTTGCACGCTTCAGTTAAATTTTCATCGTTTTACGCTTCTTCGACAGTATTTGTCCCTTATCTCATCAACTGTTATCAATTCGTCCACCATTATTCAGTGACTCATTTTTTATTTCCTTCCACTTGAATAAATCCCACTACAAATACCAATTTTATAATGACTGAGCAACTCTTTTTAGTGGAATTATCTGTCGTGATATCAATTATATGTACGACTATACAACTTGAGATTGTGAAGTCGTTGAAAAGAAATATTTCCTTTGTTGATACATGTCTTGTTCTTATTCATGAATAAATGAGTATACATCGGCAATCCTGTATTATCCCGATTACTGGGTTTAAAATGGACTACGTCATTGACATCTGTAATTAACCTGTATGTGTGCATAACACCGATCACAGATAGACAATGAAATTTACTAATAAAAATAGTGGTGTAGTTTTCTCTAAGCTTTACTATTTTCCCGTGGATTTTTCATCACTAGGCTTAGTGACATCATCAGCAGCACAAACTTCATAAAGAGAAGTGAAGCATAATCAAATAGTATACAAATATCTAAATGGTTTTTCTTTATTGACCTTGAATGCTGTCTAATTGTAAGTTGGGGAAGTGTTGTCTTCATCACACTCTCACCTCTCTGACCTTGAATTCCCTTCAATCGCGTTGGTAGATATCCTTTGTTGGAGTGGACTTGTGCTATTTGTTGTCGTTGTTGTCTTACTGTGCAGTATTATTGATTTGTCCGGTCAATTTACTCTTGGTTGATGAATGACTATTTTCTTCCTAATGAATGGATTGCAGATTAGGTCTATATCCACATTTCGTTGGAATGTCATGCTTCTGGAAATCTCTTACAGCTTTCCAAACTACTCTTTAGACGATCTCCACATTCTCTCAGTAGAATTTGTGGTTGTGGTTGTGATTGTCTGTATGCATTGAAACTAAGGAGTTCGCGTTATGTCGCTTTACTGCTGGTTAGTGTCCACGAATTTCTTGGGCAACCCGATGGCCAACATAACAACTGGCCAACATAATGCTGTGAACAATTTTTACAATTGATTTCGTAGATTATATTTGTCACATCTTCTGTTTTTTGCAATGGGTCCTTTAATTTGGACAACATGCTGTCTAGTGATTTCGTTGGTTTGTGTGCTACTCTGACTCCGAAGGGACGAAACAACCACTTGACTGTTTCCCAGATATCTTTGATGTAGGGTAGTGTAATTTGCCTATTGATTTTGGGGCAGTTGTTCTGTCTTCTATCCTGCTGATGATAAACACTTTTTGATAAGTAGTCTTATTGTTTGTATTATACCATCGTTGATTAGACCGAATTGATCGGTTTGAAACGATCGATCCTTGGTTCGAATCCCGGTGGGAACAATATCACTCACTGGGAGGCAGGGACATCCAACTGACGTATGCTATATAGGACGAAGTGCGCATCCTGGATTCCACTGCTAGCCACTATCCATCATTACTATTTGATAAGGTTGGATGGATAAACATTGGCTTTGAACACTTTGTCCAGGTATTTTTCTTCGACTTTACGTAGTGCTTCACTGTTGTAATGTGTTTTGGCTTTCTCGACAATAATGTTTGTACATAACATTTCTCATAGACTGTAGGATGATTACTGTTGTTGTAGTTCAATATTTGTTCTGTTTGTGTACACTTGTACACTTGAGTTTGTAAAGTCGCGTCGTATGTTCTGCTGATGAGTATACATAAGAATGGAATTTTTCATTAGATTCCCTCTTCTTTGTGAAGTAAATTCCTTGAATTGTGTTAGTTGATTAGTTTGAAAGTGTTTTCGATTTCATCTTTCTTGAGGATTACGAATGCGTCGCTGACATACCGAATCCAAATTTTCGGTTCGATGAGAGGGATGACTACTGATTCCAGCCGCTTCAGCAATTAATCCTGATATTGGCGATCCCGTAAGTGTCCGTTTTGTCTGTTTCTAAATCTTCCCAATGAATCGCAAATGATGCATAATGTGACGATAACGAAAAACAGCAGAATTTCACTCCAACAAAGAATATCTTATGACATGACTGAAGGGAATTCAAGGTCAACGAGGTCAGGGTGTGATCAAAACATCGCTTCCTCAACTTACAATTGGATAACAATATCTAAACATTTATATGGAATTTGAATATACTTCACTACTGTTTATGAAGTTTGTGCCGCTGAAGATGTCACTAAGCCTAGTGATGAAACATCCCCGACAAAATATGAAAGTTTAGAGAACACTAAACCACTATCATCCTCATCCTGAGCTACAAATCCTTTCCATCATTTTATTTAGCTATTAGCCTTTATTTTCTGTTGTACAGAGAAAGTAAAAGAAAGACTGATAACTAAAGAGTCGTTAGAAGCTCGTCTTGTGTTTAGTTAGTCATTGCCTCATAAGCCCTGAGAAAATATAGGCAACTTCAATGATATTCAGGTATTGAGGTGTGAAAAAGTCAAGATCATGTGACAGTATCTGGGGTATGTATAGCAGTCATGTGTATCAAGCACTTGAAGCAAGTTAATTCAACTTATTTACCGTGATAGAAAGATGAAACGCAGTTTAGAAACAATAATGATGTAATATGATTATCGATTACGCCAACTGGTTCCCTATCCTGGCTACCCAAGACTAAGATTATAACTGATAAGACCAACGAATTTATTAACCGACAGACCAATCAATAATAACGATCTGGAGAAAAAAACATGGCCTCTAGACCATTGATAAAAACAGTCGTTACGCCGAGTCAAACAATTCAATCATTATGAAGCTAAGGTGTTATATTAAAACTGGTCAACAGTACTGTTGCTTTGTGTGTCTTTCTTCGACTGGAATAAAACAATACAGTAGGTAACTTGAAACCATTAGACCACATGGTAGTTGGGTCTACTGTTAACTAAAAATAAACTTTAAGTTTTTGAGTGAAGACAAATCTGGAATGATGTTAGTATTCGTCATTCAGGTGAATGGTTTCCTCGTGAGGCTTTATGCACACAAAATGAAGTTATCAGGATTTCTCCGAGTATGACTCAGTAGCTTCTCATGACGATTTGCTGTGATGCGTAGTTTACGATGGATTGTTGTGTCATTGGTCGAGCAGATTTTCCTATTAGTTGTTTCTCTGCCTGACGTCTGACCTTGAGGTGCCGATCACTTTCCTATTGGTTGATAGAATGGTTGAATATGTCTAATATCAGCAGTTGTATCCAGGCGACTGAATCACTCACAAAAAAAGCGCAGCACAAAAATTCCACACTCAATACAAACAAATTATTAGGTATAGTGGTTCATTTTGTTATCACTTACTTGCTTTTCATATTGATAAATTTAATGAAATGTAAAACTATTTCATATATTTGCACTGCTAATTCACAAGTTGGCGACAATATTAAGGCACCAATCTATGCAGTATTAACCAGCTTTCATAGGGTTTTATTCTTACTTCATATGTTTGCCATGGACGATTCCTCTTCAAAAGTATTTCTAACATTGGAACAACAAATGCTAAAGTTTTCCCAGATCCTGTAACAGCTTCAGCTGCTACATCCTTTGAATTGAGCAGAAGAGGAATGACAGATTGCTAACGATAATTTGACAATAATATTCAATAAATTACCTGAACAGGCATACATTCTTCAAATCCAAGGGCACTGATTGCTTCTAATGTACTTTCAGACAACTTTACTGGTAAACAATCCCAATGTGATGTCATTGAAAACCAACAGGTGATATATAAGTTCACTTGAGATTTCTAGAACAAATAGCTGAAAGACACAAGATGTCGGTTTGTTAATGTAGATCATTTTACTTCGAAAAAATCTACTGAAACATGTTATTCAGAAAATGAGTATTTCTAGTAGGATTCACCATGGATTGACATTCATGGGTAGTTGTTTCATACTAGTTATGGATGAATTTCCAGAAGTTTTAATAAAAATCCGTGACCTATGGGATGAATAAAGTCGGATTTGAGGACAAATATTCAGCGGTCCTGTTGGATGAAGGCCGCGCTATATCAACAACTCATAGAAGTCAGATTCCAAATTCTTAACGTGTTCGCCACTACCTGATGGTCCCCAGTTGGATCCCTGGTGGGGTCATAGATTCACACTGCTGTTGAATCCTCCCAGAGTCCCAGTGGTTCTCCAACTAGTGTCAATTCATGATGAATATTATCTCAGAGAAGGGTTATCAGTTTCCTGAAAAAGATCCGTCAACGAATTAAACAAATAAAACTAAAGTGGATGCATCTATCCTATTAACGTTCATCTTGGAAAATATGAGTAAATAGTTGACGGCACATACCAGTAATTTTCTAGCCATGAAAAATACTGTTGAAACACATCACCTCTGTGTGAAACTCTGTTACATAACAAACCTCACCACCAACCAAATCATCTATAGTCACATGGCGAATAAAACAATCAGTTCATAAATCCATATGCCTTAATCGATATCATCAATATCAACATAGAACCAGCCATTACTACACAACGGTCTAAGTTGCCATATGTCAAGTCAGCACACTAAGCAACAAAATAATAAGACAAGAGATGAAGAAATAAAGTAGAATCGATCTAAGGCAGAAGAAAGCAACAGAAAAAACAGGAAAGAGAAATGATAAAATGCTAAATTCACTATAGCGATTCAGATAACGTATGAATACATGTGCACCACCGACATCGATTCTGAGCCATGTTACCTAGAGTCTCCAACAACCGCTGTTTTTTGTTGTCATATAGGTTCCAACCGGCTAGTCTGCATATGCCAACATGGCTCGAACCAAAAGTCACAAATTTCACGCACCGATGCCATGTTTTAGTCTGGCACCCTGTAACCTTTTCCCAGTCTGAATCTACTTCAGTTAACACTGCGCGACGAGGCAAACAGCGACTAGGTATGCGTAACATATGACCTACTCACCTCAGTCGATAAAGGTTCATCAACTGTCTTTCCTCTCCTCCTTAAAATTCTACATTTAACTTCTGTGCTACTGACAAGGTGATATACCACGACACATGGCCTGTTCTACGTAGGTAACGCTGGTCAAGCACTTGAAACTTCTCCATGTCTCCTACCTTTAATGTCCATGTTTCACAGTCATACAGCAGAACACAGCGAAATACAACACAATACATTTGACTCTTAATACATAGTCGGATATCACGGTAGCTCCATAGATGATTTAAGTTGGTAAAAGCCGATCGAGCTTTTCGTATCCATGCAGAGATTTCCTCAGTCACTGACCAGAGAACCAGGGTTGACCCAACTTCCCAGGTAGGAAAAGTGGCTAACGTAGTCAACCACTGTTAGCCAGGGCACTGCTAAAGACCAGTCCTGAAGCAACAATTTTCATTTGGGTGGATAGGAACATCCCAAACATACTCAAATGGCCACTCAAGATACCCAGAAGACTCTGTATCTTGTCAGCGTCTTCATCTAATAGGACAATTTTATCTGCATATTGTAGATCCACCAAGAATGCTCCGGTAATTAGATCAATCCATGGGATGTCAGATGACAAGAGGGAAACCTCCATAAGAACGTCTATCACAAAATTGAGTGGGAACGGAGAGAGTAGGAATCCATGATGGACACCACTCGATGTACACAGATTAACTGACAACTCACCATAGGCTCTAACACCTTTACGTGTGTTCGTGTTAAGAGCCCTCAACAGAGCAATGTACTTACTCGGCGCCTCTTTCGGCGACACTGACATATGACCTCTTCATCGACGGAATCGAATGCCGCCTTTAGGTGAAGATATATTGCTTGTGTCAGGCGTCCATAAGTGTCTGTGAGTTCTTAAACCTGAGTGACTGGCTGACAAAATCAACATAGAACCTTGCACAGGAGTGCTTCGAACTATGTTGCCACATTTCACAGACATACAAGAACAAAAGGTGGATAGAAAATGATTCATATCAAAGTAGTGTGAGAGGATAAACAATCTGAAGACAAAGGTAAGTGTGAATATTAAGCTTTAGAAGGTATCAGGGAGTGAATACATCTGCGCCATTGTCACCGATTTTCAGCCATGTCACCAAATGTCCTCAACCGCTGATTCTTCTTGTCTCAGGGACCCGAGCTAGGCAGTCTACATCTCCGCACACGGCTGGCACCAACAGTCACTGACTTCATCGACTTATGCCAGGTCGCCGTTTGGCCACTCTGAACCCCTTTCCATCTTAATTCAACTTCCATTAGCATGGGACGTTAGGGTAGGTGGTGGCTCAACATGTGCAGTATATGTCCAAGCCATCTCACTCGACTAACGTTCACGAGCTCGTCAATTGACTTGCCTGGCTTGCCTAGTACCTTTCGCCTGACCTCAACATCGCTTACACACTGATCCCACCAAACGAGAGCAATTTTACGAAGACATCCATGGTCAAAGCCCTGCAACCGCTTCATACCTTCTAGCTTTAACGGCCATGACTCACAGCCGTACTACACCACAGAATAGATTGCGAAGCAGTGTGCTCGTCCTTTCATAGATAGTCGGATATCTAGCCAGTCGGTGCCACAGATGAAACAAGTTATCAAATGCCAAACGGGCTGAGATTTTGCCAACAACCAGATCGTTCGGGCTGATACAACTTCCCAAGTAAGTGAAGATCTCGACACATCGCACCACTTTACTTCCTGGTATTTAGATATGAGTACTTGCAGCAGACCAGCCCTGAAGCATCATCTTACATTTGACAGGTGCGAAACGCATGCCAAACATATTCAGATTTCTGCTCATCGCGTTTAGAAGACTCTGCATTTTGTCAACATCTTCCCCTATCAGGATAACATCATCCGCATACTCCAAATCAACCAGATGACCTCTCGGGAGTAGATCAGTAGGACATCTATAACGAAGTTAAGTAGGAACGGCGACAGTGGGCATCCCTGACGGACAATAGTAGTTGCCGATTCACACGACAACTCTATAAGCCTTTACACTGTTGCAGGAGTTCAGATAGAGCTGTAATAAACTATGGTATCGCGAAAAGATTACACCTTTTCAAGACACTGACCAACTTATAAGTGTAACACATGGGCAGTGTGGTCGAGTGTAATTCCATCTTAGTCTGTTTATTAGAAATATCACACAGTAAAACAGTAGCATTTACTGGATAACGTTTCGGACATAATTTATTGTCCATATTCATATCAGGTAACTCCACAACTTCGAGAGTCTTTATATATTCCTAGTTTTCTCTCCTTCTCTGTGATGACAAGGGTAGTAGAATTTTCCATATATCTGGGACAGGTGCAGCATCATTTCGATTGCATGTGTCTGGTGTTGATTCGATAAACAAAGATCCGGTTATCAATCTCTCCCTCCCTCCACCCAACTAAGTTAGTTTTCAACACTGTCACCCTATCCCACCCTACTGTGTGATTGTGTGTCATCGCATGCAGAGCTATAGCCGAGTTTTTCTCTAGATTTCCTATCTTATTAGGATCTACTGATCTTGATTTAGCTAAGTTTTTGTGCTCTGTTATTCTAATCGACCCTGGTCGACTGTTTTGACCTATGCACTTGACCTCGCAATCATCGCAAGGAATCTGGTAGACCAGATTATTTTGCTTAATTGCATCGATAGGATCTTTAACTTACGAAGCTTGTTTCTAAGTGAGTTTGTTGGTTTGAATGCCACTTTAATCCTAGCCTTATTGAGAATTCTTCGTAGTGCTTCTGAGGTGCCTTCCTTGTATAGGTAACACAGCAGCCCATTTCGGACTGCCTCCAGAACCATGTCAATCGGTATGTTTGTGTAAAGGCTAGTTATGTCAAAACTAACCATTTTTTCTACTGTCGTCTAAGTGTATGTCGTCATAAGAGTTGGTAAGTCGAGACTTTGAGTGATTTCTTATTGGACCTAACACCATTGCTAAATATTTAGACAACTCGTAAGTCGGAGTGTTTCTAAAATCTACTATAGGCCTGATGGGATAACCTGGCTTATGAATCTGGTACTATTAAAATCGGAAGAAAAATATTAGCAGTGGTAGTAGTAGTAATACAGATGTTATTAATAATAATCCCACTACTAGTGGTAATAATGGCGACAGTGTTAAGAGAGAATTCAAAGCCTCTGCTGTGTTACCATACAAGGAAGGCACCTCAGAAGCACTACGAAGAATTCTCAATAAGGCTAGGATTAAAGTGGCATTCAAACCAACAAACTCACTTAGAAACAAGCTTCGTAAGTTAAAAGATCCTATCGATGCAATTAAGCAAAATAATCTGGTCTACCAGATTCCTTGCGATGATTGCGAGGTCAAGTGCATAGGTCAAACAGTCGACCAGGGTCGATTAGAATAACAGAGCACAAAAACTTAGCTAAATCAAGATCAGTAGATCCTAATAAGATAGGAAATCTAGAGAAAAACTCGGCTATAGCTCTGCATGCGATGACACACAATCACACAGTAGGGTGGGATAGGGTGACAGTGTTGAAAACTAACTTAGTTGGGTGGAGGGAGGGAGAGATTGATAACCGGATCTTTGTTTATCGAATCAACACCAGACACATGCAATCGAAATGATGCTGCACCTGTCCCAGATATATGGAAAATTCTACTACCCTTGTCATCACAGAGAAGGAGAGAAAACTAGGAATATATAAAGACTCTCGAAGTTGTGGAGTTACCTGATATGAATATGGACAATAAATTATGTCCGAAACGTTATCCAGTAAATGCTACTGTTTT